TTTTTTGACGATGGGTGAGTTAGTATGTGAAAGTCAAAATATCCTGTAAATATCTTTGTATATATACAATAAAGACATGCCATGCTAGCCTGACTGTGGGCTAAAAAAAAAAAAAAAAAAAAAAAAAAAATATATATATATATATGTCTCTTTTAAAGATTTAAATAAATAAAATCTCTAAAAATATTGAAGAGAATTTATTTTTTATCAGGCATATATTGATAGAACTAGATTAGTAAAACAATAAAAATTTGTAAGCTCAATATTGAAAATTATTCTAGAATTAACTACCATTGATAATTGTATTTTACCTAGAACAAACTACATATACAATTGTTTAATAAAGCACACATAACTAGCCTGACAGAAGGTTAAAAAATAAAAATAATAATAATAAAAATAAAATAAACAATAAATCTACATATACAGTATCTAATATCGGTTGTAATTTAAAAAAATAGTATTTTTCAAAATATCTTTTTAAGAGTTTTTATTTAAGGTCACGTTTACGTGAGTTTAAGCATTAACCAATTCTAGCAATAAATATTAGAAGCAATTCCTATGTATATGAATAATGTAAAGCTAGATGTCTGCAGATGGTGCGACATACCAGTTTAAATAGTCCAAACTATATGCATATAGATTATTAGTTTGAAAGAAACCTTGGACACTTTGGGTCGAAATGTCTGACAACGATCAACAGCAGCTTCAATCTCTGGTTTTGTCTGCCGAGTTGAATTCGGAGAATGAAAATCTTGAACAACTCGGACCGATAATCAAATCAATATACGATACCGGCAGACAAGAAGCGTTTCTTGAACAGCTGGCCGCGTTCGTTAGAAAAAAGGAAAATGAGATAGAAAGAATGTGTAATAGTAATTATCAGGTGTGAAAGTGTTAAAGGTTGTGTGGTACTCTAGTTATTATTTTTGAATGGATACTCTCGAACAAGAAAGTTTGTAAAAATAAATTACTAAAACTAGTCGTTATCCTTAAACTCGTAGGAATTCGTGCACTCCGTGGATCAATTGTTGAAAGTTAGGCAAGGGACAGTCAACCTTAAAAATAAGATAATTGATTTAAACTACGATGAACAAAAGTCGGGAAAAAAAGTTGCCGCAAAGGTAGAATAATCTTGATTATTTCTTGTCGATAAATGGAAGATCGAAGATATCTCATATTTTCCGCAATTCGATTTTAGAAAAAAGAGCTTATACAAACGCGAAGAATTCAGAAAAACATAGATGAGGCAGTTGAAACATTGCAATTGTGTTTACATGTACTCGATATGGCCAATCGAGTTCACAATTTAACTGAAGAAAGAAAATACTTTTCAGCACTGAGGGTTAATATCTTTTAGATTCATAATTTATTGTGCATTAGACTGTAGCTTAATCCGTTCATTATTTTAAAAATAGACTTTAGAGGAACTACAGACTGTTCATTTACGCAAAGTAATTCAATACGAGTTCGCCAAGCATATGCGTATGTAAATATAGACATGCAGGATTTTGTAGGAGGCTTTTATTCTTGAAAAAAATTTTTTGAAAATCAATGCTATACCTTATTTAGAGGAATCCATACCCGTAATGCAGAATAATGTTAAAAACGCAGTAACAAAGGAGATGAAGGAATGGCTATTTCTGTAAGTGAACTATTACCAACCTTCGTACAATCGATTCTATTATTCATTAATTGACATGTCATTATAATAGTGTTCAACAGGATACGCCGAAGCTTGGTAAAATTGCAATGGAACAAATGAGACTGCGTCAAGAACGATGGAGGGAGAAAGTTCGGAGAAACTCTGATTTGCGTTCTGTTTCTGTTAGTTCGCCAATCGAAATAGTGATGAATGAGGAAAACGAGTGTAGGCCTGTTTTCAATCATACAATGTTAATATAACATTTTATATTCTGCCACTTATAAACATTAAACATTATTATAAAGTCAACATTATAGATAACGATCAGGTCAAGATTGATTTTAGGCCGTTATATCAATGTCTTCACATTTATGAAGAACTTGGACAACGAGGTGAATTTAAATCAAACTACGAAGATGATAGAAAGGTAATACATTGCCTATTATGTAATTTATTCTAAGATTGTGAAAATAAGCCTGATTTACTTTTCATTAATAGGCCCAAGCTAATTTAGTACTTTCGCGGTCTTTCACATTGAGGGAAAGCGATGAAAAGAGTTTTGAAGCATTTCTTCAGGAAATCGTGGGTTTCTTTGTTATCGAGCATATCATAGTGCATTCAACTCAAAATTTTCGATCGCAATCGGAAGTGGATAATCTTTGGGACATTGTTATATCAAAAGTTGTGAAAATTTCTTCAGACAGTCTGGAGGATTGCCATGATCCGGTTCTGTATCAGAAAATCAAGTTCACATTATTCACGTTTATTCAAACACTTGAGGTATAAAATTTAGTTTTTCTTTTCAGTTAAAGGAAAGGATTACCTGACCATTCCGCTTATATAACAATAGGATTACGGATATAATGTCCATTCCTTCACGGACCTTATCCTGACCGTATTCCAGAAGTACTCGGAAATGCTGAAACGCAAGTTTTCTGAAGATTTTCATCAGGTAATATTTCTTATATCGAACCCGTGAGAAACAAGATTTCTTACAATACAAATTAATTTAGACAATTCTTGACGATGACTATATGCCTATGCAAGTTCAATTCCCTGAGGAGTATGCAGCCGTGGTCGACGCTTGTTGGTTTAAAGAAGAAGATCACCGAATTAGTCAAGGGTGAATATCGAGATCCAAGAAAGATCATGTTTGGCCAGATTTTCATGATTTTCTACGTATTTATTAAACAGGTATCCAAGAGTGCTTCCATTTTCCCAAGCATATCCATCATGTTGCTTGGACATTAAGAATTTTGTGAGTCAATATTATCAATTTGCGGAAGATGATTCTCGGCAGTACAGTTATGTTGATGACATTGTCAAGCAGGTTAGTATTTATTTTATTTATTATTTTTTTTTTATTCTAACGTTACACTCATTACTTGTTGCGTGTTAACATATTTACCATCTATGACAAAGACTCTAGACAATCTGTTAATAGAACATGTGAATGGTGTGCTACTTGGTAAACTCCAAAGTACAAATATATCACAGATAGTTCAAATAATAATTAATCTAGAATACTTTGAAAACGCATGCGAGGAGCTTGAAAAGTTGCTTAAGGCAAAAAGGTAATTTAATATCCTCCTATGCACAACTCGGGCGTCTGACATCTAATTTTAGTCTCGCGTTTTAAGATCTTCACATCGTGGTGGCAAAATTAAATTGAGGGCAGCTTATGAATTCCACGATACTCGCAAAATGGCCGAAAAACGTATTTTCGAACTAGTTAATTCTAAGATTGATGACTTCCTAGAATTAGCAGATTACGATTGGTAACTTTATGTTTTATATGGCTTAATTGTGTGATCCCGGTTAATTCTTGTTTGATTATTAGGACGCCAGATAGAGTTCAAAACAATCCAAGCCTATTCCTTCAAGGTGAGTCTTGTAAAGTTGGATTGTATGACGAGCGATTTTTATGCGCGCGATTGGTTGCGTTGCATTAATTACAAAGTGACTTTATCTGCTAACATTGTGTTTTACTCGATAAATAATTAGATATGGTTGGTTTTCTTGATGCTCTCATTAATTCTACGTTGTATAATCTTCCAATGTCAATCAAGACTTTCATGTACTTTACTACGCTAAGTCATTTGGCGACATCGCTTCTTGTATGTTTTATCCTTTCTTATGTTTTGTCTATCATTTTAATTTATTTAATGAACGTATTTAAACTTGTTTCATAGGATTTAATTTTAAGTCCCCAAGTGAAAAGAATTAATTCAAATGCTGTTAAAAACTTGAACACCGATGTCACATTTCTGGAGAACTTTGCACATAGTCTTGAAGATAAAAATATTGTTGATGCATTCTTAGAATTAAGACAGGTTATTTCATAATTTAGATCTTTTGGTCCATAATTCCGCGATAGTTGGTATCTTCTTCGTATTGATACCCTTTTTTCATTTACCATACTGTAGATTGTCACATTGCTCAGTTCCGATAACGTGGAGGAATATTTGGATCCTTCGGCGCGGAACAAAAAATATTCCCGCCTCAAGCCTGCAGACGTTGTAAACTTGTTTGAAAAGTAACTAGAATTGCAAAAATGATATTCTTTGACTTTACATGATTTGTAATTAATTGATCTTCACATTTATCATAGATGGTCGCGAGATCAACCGGTATTAACACTGGACCCCGAAGATCGTATCAAAAAACGCGCAATGGAGAGTGTTGTTCGTTCTTTACGATCATCTTTTCATTAAATCCATAGTTGGTGCGTAAAACCTCTTACCTTTTCGTTTTATAGAATTTATTTAATTGAAATTTATTTTGGTTGCATAATACACCAATTTCCCATTATTCCAAATACCTTATCATAATATTTCTATTTCTGATATGCGAACTTTCCTGGTTACAATTATTATATGCACGGAGAGTAATTTGTTTTTAAATAAAATAATATTTATAATAGATTACATTGAAGTATTAAGTTTGAAGTTTTAAGTCTATACAATCAAAATTAAATAACATCTATTAATAAAATATACAGTATTGTAAATACTTTTTTTTTTTTTAACCCACTGTCAGGTTAGTTATGTATGCTTTATTAAACATGATGTAGGCTATTCTATTTACAGTGTCGCTAAAACTAAAATGCTAACTAACTCACCTATCTTGATTTATTTTCAAACTCTAAGTGCAACTTTGGAAGTGATTTGTCACTTCACTAACAGTTCAGGTGAATACCTTTCCAATTATTAGTATTATTGGCTGCAGGTCATCACTGCAGATCACTTTGCAAAGCTCTGACAGAGATCAAAACCCAATCAATTCATTTCATATTCAATTTCTTTTGTCAATATCTGCTTCAAATTCTTGTCATTCAATTTTTCTTCTTCAAGAATTAATGATTTCTTGATCTTGATTTTGATCTTTTGGACTTTTCAACCTGGTCTTCTTACTTTATTCTTTCTATTGATTCCTTGTAACTATTTCTATTCAATTACTCTTATATATCTTTTATTTCAGATTTTCTTCTAGATGTAATTACAAATCTGCTTCTGCATTTTTATAATTTACCTATGAGCTTTTTGTTCTTTTACCATAATATTTGAAATCAGTCATTGTGATAAGTTAGACACTTCTCATGAGTTTTGTACAAAAGTTTAGTGTTCTATAATTACTTTTGAAGATTTCTTCTATAAGTTTGGAGATTGGTTTATCTAGTTTTCTCCTCTTCTCTCTATCATTTATAACTAGTTATATATTTTTTTCTTCCATTTTCTTTTTTTTTTCTTGAAAATGTTTCTTAAATTTCTTTAATATCTCTTTTAATCTTTTTATTCATGCTTCTTGTAATTGCTTTTTATATACTGGTTATTCTAGTAAGTAATTTACTATTTCTACATCTTTGTTGTATTCTATACATATTATTTGTTTATAAAGATATGATTTTTTTATTGCTAGTTTTGTCAAAATTGATAACTTATCATTTGTTAATTTCACAAGAAAACTTTTTTTGCAAGAATCTTTAAAAGAAGTATTTCATATATACCTATCCTTCATTCTATTTCATATAAGGTTCTATATATATTTATATTGATCTTATATTACTGATTTTATTTTTTCTAAATTCTATTCTGCTGTGTCTATAGATAAACTGTTGTCTTGCTATTTACTTTTTTGATGAATTTCCTTATTGAAATATCCAGTGTTATACTTTGTCATTTAATTTCAATAATAATTTGAATAATATGAGATTTTTCCATTTTATTATAGAAAGTTGAAAGACTTTTTTGGCCATAATATATGCTTCTTTATTGTATCTATCACTAGAGTGGACCTTAATCTTGATCAACTCTAAGTTCAAATATTTTTTTTCCACAATATCTAGTATTTGCATCCATAAAGACTAGCTTTTCTTTTTAATCATTTTTATGTGTCTTTCTAGAATCTTTTTCCTTCAATTTTTTTTTATTTAGAGATATAGACTTGATTATTCATATAGCTTTTGGCTTTACTTTCAATAAAAACAACTAATAGTATAGTAACTATTGCTGTCACTTTGACCTTTGTTAATGATAGCTAGTCCTATTCCTGTTTAAAATTTGCTTTCTCTTCCTATTTCTCCTATTTAATCCATACTACTCCCATTTTTATTTTTTTATTTTCATGATTGGCCAGTAATTCATTTGAATAGAAAGTTATTATTTTATTTGACATCTGATTTCATTAAAGTATTTTTATCAAGTGAAACTAATATATACTTTTTTTTATATTGTCTTTAATAATTTTTTCTTCCTAGCTTTCTATTTATATATTTATTATTTTGGTATTTTGAATTTGTTCTTGATTCTCTTTTATTATCTTAAGTATTTCTTTTTCTATAGTTGTCTTGCTTCTTGAAATCTTTAGTATCTAGGCTCTTCTGATAGATTTTTTAGTATTAAGATATAAGACTATATATATTCTATCTCTTTTTTTTATTATTATACAATAGTTATTTTTCATAATACCTTTTAGGCACTCAAAGTATTTTATTAGACTAGTTGTTTATTGGTATTCTTCAGTTACTAAACATTTGAAGTGTTCTATTTCTATATTATCCATTATACTTTCTTTTATTAACTTTTCTCATGTAACATAATCTCTTTTATTTTCTATAACAATCTATATTTTTTGTTATATGTTATGACAATATTTCTTTATTAAATATTTTGATTTCTATTTTGTTCAATCTATCTTTTAAGATCTGATGAGCTATTTTATTCCTTCTTCTTGTATAGTCTTGATTATTGATAGATACTGTATATTGATCATTTACTCATATTCTACATGAGCTATAACATTTTCCAATTTCATGGTTCTTTAATATCTACAATGATTAATTAATTTATATATATTAAACTTTGTTTTTCAGTAAAAGTATAACTTTTTTATATTCATCTAATATAAGTTATTTACTGATTGAACTATTTTTCTTACTCTATTTAAATATGTCATATTATTTCTAGCTTTGAAAAATTATATCCATATCTCTAACTAATTCAATACTAGAAGTATAAAGTTATCTCTATCTAATAGATGATGAAAATATGTATATTATTAGATTTTCAGTATCTAATTTGTGCTTGTTTAAGTCTAATAACTGTTATAACTTTTTTTTTTTTTTTTTTGCCCACAATCATATCACAATGACATATCTTTATTGAAAAATTGAAATGAATTTACAATATTTTACAAACTTTTACAAAGTGACTAACTCGTCTTTATACAAAAGTACTCTAAGTCAGATTTTGAGGACAATATTTTACTCCCCTAATAAATTGATAATAATCTCTATCTACCAGGATCATTGCCAACAGTTTGTCATTGTAGATTGTCTGAAAACCAATGAATTGCTAAGTTAAAAAGGGGAAGGGAAAAAAAGAATTGGGGAAAGGAGACAATTCAAGGCCCACCAAAAAAATCCAAAAATAAAACCAATCTCTTCTCAAAAGGGATCTGCCTAATTGTGAATATCTTTTTTGTGTGTGATCAAAGGATTAGCGGAAAGAGTTGCATATCTTTATTGAAATATTAAAAGAAAATATCTATAATATATATGAACTTTCACTTGATGATTAATTCATTTTTACATATTATTAGTTAAAGGACTACATTACTTAAAAAATATGAGGAGTTCACTAAGCTAGTTCAGACTAAACTTAACAAAATCTAAATTAGATACTCTAGGTCAGATTTTGGAAACAATATTATACTTTTCTAATAGATTGATTATATTTTCTATCTATCAGGATCATCATTTATAGTTTGATACTATATATTATTTCAAAAAATAATGAATTGCTGAATTACAAACTGGAAAAAGAAAAAAAAAGAAAAGAAAACAATTCACAGTCCTTCAAAAAATTCTTATTTAAGTAAATAATCTCCTCTTAAAAGGAATTTACTTGATTGGAATATTCTCTAAACTTTAGATTATTTAAGAAACTTGATTATTTCTAAATATTAAAATTTCAAAAAAAATGTTTGAGAAATTTACCCTTCTACTAATATATAAATTCACTTATTATAAGACTAATGTCAGTATCATATTATAGTAGAGTTAGCTTGACTAGAATAAAGAAGCCTTTGCAAAAACTTTGTCTAATCAGAATAGAAGTTTGAAGATCTTAACTTTCTTTCTGAAAAAGTCTTTTCACTACTTAAGGGACTTGATTAAAAGATAGTACTATATTTTATACTCTTTACTTGCTTTTTTATATCATAACTGTCTTTCTTGAAAACTTATTTAATTAGAAATTAACTTTTTCATTGACTTTTCTTTTCAATTATCAATAATGTCATTGAAATACATGAGTATAATCAATAGGAGCTTATTTACATTTTAAAAACTAATATGTTCCATGTCAGCCAATCACCTTTAATAAGAATTTATGTTACCTAAAATTCAAGATCAAACTGAGGTAGGTAAGATTCTCCAAAAAACTATAAAAGTAAAAGCTTTAAGAGGACACAAATGGTTAAAAAGGAAGAAAATAAATCTTTTTACTATAGAAAACCTTTATATATCTCTCACTTAAAAGGTTAGAAAAACCTTTAGATACTTTATAATCAGTTCTTCTTTCTTTGAAAACTTTCTTGATATTGGTATCAAAGGTATTACTTGATTTTTTTAGTTATTAGAATTTAAGTTTTTGAGTAAAAAGATTTGTAAACAAGAGAGAAAGTGTAGAAATGTCTTTTGGAGTTATACTTCAAGTTGTTTTAATAAAAGTATTAAGTCTTTATTAGTAAAAAAGTATAAAACTTCTTGTGAACATTTTTTTTGTATATGGTTGAGGATCAACAAAAAGAGTTATTCTGTAATTTGTTTATAGGATATAATATTATATTAATGTAACTATTTATTTAATTATATCTATATATAATTTAATAAAGTATATGCATATAATTGATTTGATTAAAAATAAATAAATAATTTTTTAATTTAATTAATAGATATATTATATATACTTATATTAATATTAACTCTTTTAATTAATTTTCTGATCATATACAAAAAAGACATTCACAAGAAGTTTTG